AAAAAAAAAAAAACAGAAAAAAAGGGAAAAAATTTATATAAAAGAAAGAAAATAACACCCAAAGATATTTACTCCTTTTCAGTTTTGCTTCAGGCTTTACACTTTATCCTCAACTTCTGCACTAGATTTGATTGAGTATAGGCTACTGAAATAGTGTGGAAGAGCTCTCAAAAATCTGTCTTTCTGAATGTAGATAGGGCATAAATTCTGAATTAGTCCAGTACTACTGAAAAACACTGTGTGGCTTGTAGCAAATTTATGTAGAGCAAAATATTCAGTAATGATAACTTCAAAAACTAGCTTTGGCATGTTCTACTAATTGAACTATCCATGTATTTGCCATATATCATCTCTTTAGAAAAGTACCTTTGAAATATATGGATCTATAGACAGCAGCCCAGATCCAGAAGTGTTCCTGTCTAAAAAATAACTGATACTTTCAAATCTATATCCATCAAGACTATGTCTGAAATACTGTTGTTAAGGAAACCTGCAGACGAGCCAGGACTGATTCATGAAGTTATGGCAACTCATAACAGGTGTTGAGAGTGAAACATTAAATGCAAAAAGTGGGAGGCTGACAAAATTCCTACATCAGATGGCTATTTTATAATCATGGAATCAGAAAATGGTAGAATGCAAACTGGCTCTGAGAAAGTGAGAATGTTGGTGAGAATGCTGGGCCACATGCAGTGCACAGTCAAGGTGAGGAGGGAGAATTTAACTCCATACTTGTAACTCGTGTGAATAAAAGGAAGGCAAATTATCTTTCTCAGATACTGTATAAATCTTAGTAGAAGTGAGTAACTCCTTAAAATCACTAACAGATACCAGTACATCACACGCAGCACCAGCAATTTCAAAAACAGGCAGAAATTTCACAAAAAAAATCTCTGAATATTCTAGTGAAAAACACTAACCCCTCAAAATAAGCAGACTTCAGTGGAAGGAACCGTCCATCCTCAGTACCCTTTCCATGGACTTATTTCAAATTTGCCAATTTTGCCTTTCACCTATAGAGGTGAGGGGTGTTTTTTTGTTTGGTTTGTTGGTTTTGGTTTTGGTTTTGGTTTGGTTTTTTTGGGGTTTTTTTTGTTTGTTTGTTTGTTTGTTTTGCCAGGATTGCTATGTGTTTCAATTCCTCTGATCAGGAAAGCTCATGCTTCTTTATCTCCAGGTTGTTGCCTTTTGGGAAAGCTGCAAAAGGTAAAGCTGTGGCCAGGAAATTCTGGTCTCTTTGTTCCATGACCTCAGCCCACCTCAGCTGAGGTCTCTGTGGCTTTTGTTCTCATTCTGCAGTTTTTCATACAAAATATTAACAGAGTACCTGTGGCAAACTGGATATCCTGCATCTCATGGCTTGCTCATCTCTTGTTCA